TTAGTTATATATTCCCTGCCTTTCAAATAATTTTAAAAAGCACATATAAGATTCTAAATACTGCCCAAGAATTTCCTTTTTCTGGGGGGTAGAGGGGTGTTAAGTATTTTAAAATATTGATATGAAAAGGCCTATTATTTTATAAACTCTAGATCTCAGTTAATAAGACTTTCCATGTTCTTCAGGCTTTGTATGAATGGAAGATGAAGGAAACTATCTGAAAATGAGATCTCTTACAGAAAGGGTTGTACCAACATGAGAATGAATGGCAAGAACAGAAGTGCACAGTAGTACTGAAGGAGTTAAATGGTATCTGCTATCGGAGGAGGTAAAGAGGCAGGGAAGGAAGAGTAGATTCAATAGCAGGGGATTTTGCAGTTTGCAGCAGTATCTGGGCACTGTGAACAAGTGCCCTGACACAGATTTATTTGGGACTGTATCAGCCTAAAAGGTTTCAGTAGCTGGATCATCAGCACTGAGAAACTAAATAGTAGTGAAGACAGTTAAAGGGAAGTGAAAGGAATTAAGGAAATCAGCAAAGTTGAAAGTGTTTTCCTGTGGACTTGGTTGAAAATGGCCTGAGAGCTGGACTATCTTCTCATTGCCAAGCTGGCTTCAACAGTGGTAAAATCTGAGTTTCTGGATAGAGTTGGCAATGTCAAATATGGTCTGTCTGTCTGTACTTTCTTGTTGTTCAAAAAAACCCTGTGGCTCTTTCCATGACAGCCTCTGCTCCCTCCCTTAGGTTAGACAAGGACTTGTATGTGATGGTTAGGATAGGGAGGATCAAACAGTGGGTTCAAGTAGAGGACCTTTGGGGGTCCTTTTCAGCCCCACTTTTCTGTGATTCTATGTGATGACTCAGAGATTCTCCTCTTGGCTAAGTGCAGACAGTAAAAAAGCCCAAGCCTGAATCAATTCAGTCTTTGCAGGTTAGGCTAAACTGCATAGATTGAACTGAGAAGCAAGTGAATAGACATTCACTTTTGATTTAAAAAATGCAGCCACATGCCTGCAATGGCTCATTTTACAAGCTGGGGGGGGATGCCAAAGTGAGCCCTCCCTTCCCTTTTGCAGTGGCTGGAAGGCTGCAGGGAAAATGGGAGAGAAGCTCTCCAGGTTTTTTGCCCCTCCCTGATCAAGCTGAGGGGGTGTGGCCAGACCCCCGGGGGGCCTTGGAGGGGGATGGGGGAAACAGCCCCTGCCAGGCTTTTCCTTTGCTCCCCACTGGAGCAGAGGGGAGGGGCATGGCCAGATCCTGACTCCAGGCCAGCATGCTGGGGAGGAGAGAGGAAGGGAAGGGAGGGAAGGAAGGGGAGTGGTGCTTAAACCCCTTCTCCCACCGGCCTGGGACCTCAGCAGGGGTCTGCTTAGCAGGGAATGGGGGGGATCCTGTGCTGTTGGGATAGGGGAGGGTGACAGTGCTCGAACTAGGGAGCAGGGGGCAGGGCCAACGCTGCTCTGCTGGAGCAGAAAGCCCAGCTTAGCCCAGCACTGCAAAGCATCCTGGGATGTCGGGGGACTGTGAATTAACTTGAACCAGGAAGGTGTCATTTGTATTTTGTACACAAATCAGTTTCTCCTGCTGCTCTGCCACTTTGCTTCATTTTCGTGGCTAAAATAAAATAACCAGAATGGGATTTCGGCTACTGCGCCTTTTCTGCCCCCTTTCTGTGCACTTCTGGTTAGGGGAGCAACAGAATTAACTCCCTCTGCTCCCCAGAGAAGGTATAGGTCTGCTTTTCCTCTTGGGACCTTCTGCATGGTCAGGTTTTGCAGCCAGTGTAAAGTTATCCTAGTTTGAGAGCTTCAGAACTGAAAAGTAGCCATCTCATGGGAATATGTATTTTATATGCAATAGGATGGGACAAAAATTCACTCATACCTGCAGCATTTCCCAGTAAAAAAAATCACAAGTCAGGTTCTAAAATCCATGGCATGATTAAATATGTAGTTACTTCCATTGGTTTCTGAGATATTGAGAAACATAAAGTTAACTTGTTTTAAAAATCAAAACAAAATTAAACAAGATCCCCTGAATTTTAAATGTAATCACTTGTGAGACCAAAAATACCAAAGAGAACACAGGAATTGGTGGGAAGTATATAAAGTATATGAATAGATCAGCAACCAGGAGCCAGGAACATGGAATAGAAGGGTTGACTTTTTTAGAGGGTGGAAGAGATTAATATGTACTGTTGATAAGAGTAGGACAACTGTTGGAAGGAAAAATCACCAACAGACTTTCAGCTTTACAATTGTAACTGTTACCAGTTTTTATAAGACTCTCTGTGAAAGAAAAAGCTACAAAATAGCTTAAAACTTGATAAATATAAAATCAAACTCAACAACTGAAATTAGAACTGATGCTTAGGGTTAACCATCAGAATTAATGAACTCCACTGGGAACTGACAGAGTTTTCAAACTTTGATAGAGCATAAAATGCTAAAAGTAACCCCCCCAGCTTTGCTGCCACTTAAAGGCACCAGTTCCCATTGAGGTCAATTGAATAAATCATTTTTGGAGTGTATATATCAAGCTGTTGTAGAAAACTGATAGTCTAAGAAGACACTTACAAAACTAATATCTATAGCTACTTAATATACTTACCCTGAATTTTAAAATTCCTGTATTTCTAAAAGCCTTGGCTCATGAAGTAAAAAACACTTCAACTAGAAACAAAAACGAGAAATTTGAGGAAGCAGAAGAGGGCTTAGTTGAAGAAATTAGATAGATGAGGTCAAATCAGGTTTAATTGACAGGCAACCTTAACAAGTGCTATGCTCCATGAAGTTTCAAGTGATTAAAAAATACATTTAAACCAAACTTGCATCTATTTGCTTCTTGTACGGGAGTGATCCAGTATACTGAATCTAGCAAAGGGCAGGGAATTCCATTAATTTACTGTGAAAACCTGGCTGAACCCTTGAATTAATCTTAGTTTTCTGAAACTCACAGTTGTTTGAATGTAAAGTACTAGTGTCAAGAGCATAAGTGCTAAATATTTTTATGTACATATGTTTGTGTCATTTATAAGTAATACAGAGCCTAAATTAGAAAATATATCCAAATACAAGTCTTGAATCAGAATCCCATTCAAATTTGAAAAGTTCTGAACTGTATTCAAACAAACGTTGTGGCTTAGGTTCATCTTGGTTCATCTGTAATGCATACATACATATGTGCATATATATGTTCCCCCCTTTCTCTTACAAAATCTGCATCACATCACAGCATCAATCTTCCTGTCAAACTAAACTAAACAGGTCTTCCTATGGAGACCACCCATGCTTCTCTTAGGCCCCAATCCTGAAAATACTTAAGCATATATGTAACTTTGTTCATAAGAGTGGTCCCACTGAAGTCTATGGGACTGGTTCCATGAACACAGTTACATTTTAAGTATTTTCCAGATCTGGGGCCCAGATTTTCTGACAAGAGGCCACTATAAAGTAAAGTGAAGCTTTTTCTTCACCTCCATCTAAGCGTGCTGCTTTTGTAGCAAGCCTGGTGAGTGCATTTCTTTTTCCAAAAAACAATGGATTAATTTCCTTTGTTGGGAATAAGTTTAATTTGCTTTTTGGAAATAAAGATCTCATAATTTCATATTGGAGAAAATGTCAAATTATATCCCTAAACAAGAGAGGTCTTCATTATGCTTCCATCTGACCTTACAGCATCATATTAGTTGAAAATCATTAATGTAAAACTTTTTTTTTTGTTTTAAATAGAATTTTATAGATGCATTATTCCTGAATAGACTAGAGAAAATGGCAAGGATAGAAGATTATTATGGACAATTATGCAGACCAGCACTGAGCACTTGTGTTTAACAAACAGCTTTGAGTTCTAATTTTCTGCAATACACATACTGTAGGTACAATTTGTACTCATTACTGTATATTGGGAAAGTTATTAAAATTCTTAAATTTGTTGAGGCTTCCTATAGCACCTTCCTTGGATTTTAATTGGTTTTATCTAGTTCCATAAGAGAGCTCTTTAAAACAAATCAAAGTCTCTTAAATCACATATCTCAGCCATTGGAGGACAGATATTTCTCTATAATTTTGCAAGTTTTATAAGTACTGAAATGTGAAGGTTCTCAGTGATGAATTCAAAGACTTGGCAGAAGATAATGTATGCATATTTTGATGAGCACGGTTTCAAAAATGACAAAATAACAATGTTGTGTAACAGAAGGGTTAAATCTTAATCTCAGAGGTTTACAAAGCTGCTAGTCGCAGTCTCCTTAAAATTTAATATACCTCGTTAATGCTTACTTGCAAACACTGAAGGATTTTTATGATTATAATCATGTGTTACAGCACCTAGTACTGTTTCTAAGCAGCATACTAATCAGCTTAATGAGATATTACTGCACTTTTTGTTGACTAAAGCAAAATCCCTTTTATTGTTCTAAAGCTTGTCCTTTACTTTATTTTTTCCCAAAACATTATCTTGTTTTATTGTATACCAGTAAATATCATGCCATCGTTTGTTTTTTTTTGTCAAATCATAAAACTATCTTTCTCATTGTGGAACGTGTAATATATTGAATATGGTTAATGGAACTGAAAGTTATAAATGGATTCTATTTTTGTTTTTTGTTTGCTTTCTTTTAATGGAATTGGAAGAGATGCATAACATTTCTTTTTCTATAGATTTAAAATGTAAACAGGTGCAATATCACAGGAAAAAAAGAAGTTGAAAGCTTATGCTACCTCTATAATGATAAAATATTGAAATTTGTAACGTGCTAATTTTTTTAAGTATTAATGAATAGCTATCTGTAAACATACAGTATGATGAAGGCACAAATACAATGACAGTAGTATAGTATAATTGGCATTTAATATACTTTTTACTGTTTTCTCCTCTAATTCCTTTGCATTATTATGTGTAGGTAAAACATAAAATGCAAATGTTATGCCAGTGAATATAGTTGATTCACTGCTTATAACTATTATAGTACAAAGCTAAAATATTTTCTTATTTTCAGAGATGGAGGAAGCTAGTTTGTGCCTTGGTGTTTCTTCAGCTGTACCAGAAGCTGATGCCCATCTCAACAGCACCATACTTAATGGCCAGTATTCAATGAGTCAGAAGCTGCATCAGATAACTTCACAGCTCAGCCATGCCTTTCCAGAGCTTCAGAACAGGCAGAATGCTGAAGAAAAGGCATCAGTGCCCTTGGAAGACAAAAGTCATGTGTCCATAGCAAATCAGCCAATCAGCAGTCAGATGGCACTGTTAGCAAACCAGCTCAATAGAGATGTGGACACCAGTCTGAATGGGAGAGTAGATCTGCAACAGTTCTTAAATGGACAAAACCTTGGGATCATGTCTCAGATGAGTGATATAGAGGATGATGCTAGAAAGAACAGAAAGTACCCATGTCCACTCTGTGGGAAACGTTTTCGATTTAATAGCATCCTCTCTCTCCATATGCGCACTCACACGGGAGAGAAACCATTTAAGTGTCCATACTGTGACCACAGAGCAGCTCAGAAGGGCAACCTGAAGATTCACTTACGTACTCACAAACTTGGGAACCTCGGTAAAGGCCGTGGAAGAGTCCGAGAAGAAAACAGGCTTTTACATGAGCTGGAAGAAAGAGCAATTCTGCGGGACAAGCAGATGAAAAGCAGCCTTTTGCAACCACGACCTGATGTGAAAACACAGCAGCATTCACAACCAATGCCTCTTGCAAACTGCAATCTGTCTGTGCCAGCTAATCACAGCACACCTGATATTTCAAACCCTGTTCCCTCTCCGAAGCCAGTCAGTGTCCAGGAAGAAGTAGTTGCTCAGACTGCTGGGTTCAGATGTACATTTTGCAAAGGCAAGTTTAAGAAGCGTGAAGAGCTGGACAGACACATTAGGATCCTGCACAAGCCTTACAAGTGCACTCTGTGTGACTTTGCTGCCTCACAGGAGGAGGAGTTGATTAGCCATGTGGAGAAAGCTCACATAACTGCTGAGTCGGCGCAAGGCCAGGGATCCAATGGGAATGGTGAACAGTCTACCAACGAGTTTCGCTGTGAGGTATGTGGCCAAGTCTTTAGCCAAGCCTGGTTCCTGAAAGGCCACATGAGAAAGCACAAGGATTCCTTTGAACACTGCTGTCAGATTTGTGGGAGGCGTTTCAAAGAGCCTTGGTTTCTCAAAAATCACATGAAAGTCCATCTGAATAAATTATCTGTAAAAAACAAATCTCCTAGTGACCCAGAAGTACCTGTATCCATCAGCAGTATGTCACAGGAGGCTCATGCGAACTTGTATTCAAGATACCTATCATGTTTGCAAAGTGGCTTTCTTCCTCCAGACAGTGCCAGTTTCAGTGAACAAAACCAGATTTATAACAAAGGAGATATGCCCATGAAAGAGAAAGAAGTCCTGGGGAAACTCCTTTCACCCATTTCTGGCATTGGCCACAGTATTGCTGAAGGGGATAAACATTCTTTATTGGGCTGTCTCAATCTGGTGCCTCCTCTGAAATCCAGCTGTATAGAAAGGTTACAGGCTGCTGCCAAGGCTGCAGAGATGGATCCAGTAAACAGCTATCAAGCCTGGCAGCTTATGGCAAGGGGAATGGCCATGGAACATGGCTTTTTGTCTAAAGAGCAGCAGATACAGCGCAGCCATGAAGACACTTTGGCAAATGCTGGAGTTATGTTTGATAAGGAGAAGCGGGAGTATGTGTTAGTAGGAGCAGATGGCTCTAAGCAGAAAATGCCTGCTGATTTGGTTCACAGCACTAAAATGGGCAATCAGAGAGACTTGCCAAACAAACTAGACCCTTTAGAAGGCAGTAGAGATTTTTTGTCACATGGGCTGAACCAGGGACTTGATTATAATATTCAAAGTCATGGAAATGTGAAAGAAAAGCCAACTGAGTGCCCTGACTGTGGAAGGGTTTTTAGAACATACCACCAAGTTGTTGTTCACTCCAGGGTCCACAAGAGAGACAGGAAAGGAGAGGAAGATATCATTCAAGGTAGCCTGGAGGAGCGCCGTGGGTCTGGAAGCGATCAAGAGTCTCAGTCTGTCAGCAGGTCGACGACACCAGGGTCTTCTAATATTACTGAGGAAAGTGGAGTAGGTGGGGGTCTCTCACAGACAGGAAGTGCTCAGGAGGACAGCCCACATCCTTCCTCACCTTCCTCTTCAGGTATGCTAACTAATCCTTCACTACTGTAGACTGAGAAGTTAGAAGCTATATATTAAATAATCTTAGTTATACACTTTTTGTGGGTAGTTCCCACTTGCAATTTCCGTATCAGCTGCAGTGACATGGTGTTATATACTCCAGCCTGCATTCTCCTTTAATTGTGCTTGGGTTCTTTTTTACTTTCCCCTACACTTTAAAAATTAATTTTCATTGCACTTATGTTTTTTTCCTCAAGGATAGTTTTCCTGGCCTTTCGCCTATTGCCTCAGCCGTGCTACAGGTAGCAGTGCAAAATGTCTGGGCTTTGACCTATAGGGACCCCTTCACCTTTGGGACCCTCCTTTTCCAGTGCTCTGAAGTTCAGTTTTTTTCCCTTTGTTCTCGCTCTCCCCCTCCTGCTCTCCCAGACCCCTTCCATTGCCTCCAAGTACAAGGGTGAAGCAAGCTGCTTTTCTGAGTGGCAGCTGAAACGGGTGCGCTGAATAAGTGGTGTGGCTACCAGCCCCTAGAGAGGTGCATCCTCCTCCTTGTCCCCTATCAAATGAATCTTTTAGCTGAGCTGTTTGCTGGGATTTCCAAGATTCTGTACTGATTACAGCAAAATAGTTCTAAAATATTAACTTTTCTGACATCCTTTTAATTTATATGCTTATTTTAACATGCATACAGATGTCCATGTAATCCATGTGTATCTGAGAGCATAAGAAAAGGAGAAATTGAACTGAAACATTTTAATTGCATTGTATGTCATGTTAACTTGCTGTGTATAAAATAGCAAAGCAGATAATATTTCACTGAAGATGTCTATAAAATATTGAGCTTCCTGGTACAATTTTTAAAGTTACTAGCCTATGACTGCTGAAATAAAATCTCCAAGTAATAACAGGTAAGATTTCAGGCCTCATCTATATTTCCAAAGTCACTTACTAATGGATAGTAAATTGAAAGTTATATCTTCAGCCCTTTATAAAGAAAGCACCTCACTAATACTGTAATCATTCTGCAAGCCTAACAACAGAGGAAATCATGCCATAACAAATACTCTGTTACTAATGGCAACATTGATTTCTGCAATCAGCCATTAAGTCTAGAAAATGAAAGACAGTTTGAGGTACCTTAAGGCATTACATTGCCCACTGTTAAAGATCTGGTAGCAGGCTGTTGAGGGTAATTCTTTTTAGGGTTTTTTTTTCCAGTTTCGATAAATATTTTAGTATTGGAGGCAATTCACTGTTACAGTTATTAAGTATATGCCAGTTTATTTTTGTTGTTCTTGTCATGCACCAGTATACTCTACTTCTAAGGCCAAATTAATACAAAAATAAAGTGTTAGTTTGCTGCCTATTACAAACCAGTAAAGAAATTGTTAAGACACATAAATCTGCACTCCACATTCCACAGATTCCTATAGTACTTAATGCTGTTGTTTAAATACCCATGAAACACACTGTCTACTCTTAGAGTCATAGCCTCGTTTACAATTTATTGCTGGTGAGACACATTAAAAAATTCTATGTAGAAAGAAGGGTAACAGGCAAAAGCTAATTTCATACTATATATAGTTGTTCAGATTGTTTTTAAGAGGATTGAAAATATGTCCAACTAGAGAAGATAATTTCACTTTTTAAAATTCTGAGCCTTAAGAAAAAGAAAACTAACTGCTATTCTTTTCATATATAAAATGTCACCTTTGTTTCAGTATAAAGACCATGGCTATAAAAGGATTTGAAGTAAGTGATCCTTAAATCATTTAGTTGAATTGTACAGGAACCTTTGCTGGCTGTTTAGAAAAGTTTTGAGGATATATAAACATATCCTCAAAACTCATATATAGATATATATATCTATATATGAAATGTTGGGCTTTCTGAATGAAATTGAACTAACATATATTTAAATCAGTTGAAGTAAAGCTGTGGCACCTGAGAGGTAGAGTCTCTGAATGGCCTAGAAACTTCCAAAATGTTCTACTTCATTTATTGAATTGTTTGTTGAGTTTTTCTTGTGTTTAGAGCCAGGAGGCAACACTGGAATTTTATTCTCTGTGTTAGTAGTTATTTAAAATTGTTATTAACTTGTAATCTACAGCTTATTAAAACCATATACTTTCACATCTGAAAAGGTTATCTTGATCCCTATAAAAACAGAAGCAAAACATATTCAGCAACAGTTATCAGAAACTTGATTTTTATTTTAAAGAATCTTGTTACTCATATATTTTGATTGATTCAGATCTGATTATCTTCTTCAGTCTGTTGCAATAAATGCAAAAATGTGTATGAATGTAATATACACTTTCCTATTTAGGCTGGTAGATTGTTTCAAGGAGTTTGATAACTTATAAATTCTCAGTCAGATAAAAGGAATATGGCATTGAAATTTACCTGAATAAAATGTAAATATTCTTTAGCCCTCTAATATTACATATGTTACTTTAATGTTCCTATTGAAAGTGTTTTTATCATTGTGTCATGTATTTTATCATTACCTATGAAAGATAAATCTTAAGATACAAGGAAATCAGATTTTTCAAATAAAGGAGAATTAAGTAGTCATTGAGACTTCTATTAAGAAATTACTGCAAAACAGTTTTACAAATTTCTCAGCCTGCATAACAATGTCTCAAAACTTAATTTGCATCACTTGATTCTTTTTTGTTGAAAACTGGGTCAGTAGGGCCTGAGAAACTATTTTTTCAGATCTTAACCAATGAATTCTTCTTTATAAATTGGTGCTCTTAACATGATAGTAGTTCTGAATTCATCATAAAAAACCTTTTTACACAGTGCTGCTTAGAACAGATCTCCAGAAGAAGGCTTACAATGAGT